CCTGTGTGTGGGGACGGGGGAGGAAGGAGAGCTAGCAGCCAGCCCTCATCCTTGCTGGAGCAAAATATCCCACCCCCATATCTGATTTCCTCTCCATTTACTTCCTCTGGACCCCCTGCAGCTTCTCCTGCTACAGGGCCTTTCTGTGTCTCTTCCCCTGACTTGCTGCTCCCTCTCACTAGGCCTACAGATGCCCTAGGGGTGTCCCCAGGTTGGAGTCTTCCATTGTCCTGCTAACTGAATAATCATCTGAACTCCCATCCACATTTTTTCCTTAGATAATCCTCACCATCCTGTATTCAGTGTTCTTGGTTTCTGGAAATCTCCTTCTCTCACCCAGGATTCTGGTGATCAGATGTGAGAAACTGCATCAGGGATGGTTTTGCTAATGCTCAGAAGGCGATGGGGATGATACCTACAGATTTTGTGGAAGGCAGAGTTGGGGGTTCTGCAATATCTCTCCCCTGTTTGCTATTTTTAAAAGAATATTCCAATTTACAGAGTAGACAGAAGGGGACAAAATGGAAGCAGAGAGACCAACTGGGAGCCTCCTCCGGAGGCATGGATGCCGGTGGTAGCTTGAGCTGGTGTGCTGGGCTTCACAGTGGAGAGAAGCAGACGGATTTGCAGGTGGAGCCAAGAGAGGTTGCTGATGGGCTGGATGGGGAAAGGAAGGGAAAGAGAAGCATCAAGAGCAATGCCTAGATTTTTGGTCTGGGCAACTGGGTAAATGGCGATACCCTCTCTGAGGAATAAAACGGAGTTTATAATAGTGTCTGGAGTTGTGAGTGTGGGAACGTATGCATCACCTTCAAGCCGAAATGGATGGTTGTAATACAGGATTCCTCATGCAGGAACCAGACTCACTCAAGGGCCGGGCCAGCAGGGTCTGCCTTCTCGGAGAAACAGGCTCCCAAATGAAATTGCCCATTGTCTTCTATCCCGGGGGTCCCAGTTCTATGCTTAACAAATCCTGAAGCCCAGGACCCTGTAGACACAGCAAGGAGATATGCAGAGAAACAGTGAAGACAAACGTAGAAGAGCTGTATGGGTGATTTGGTGCTTCACTCAAGGCACGGTCATTCTGAGAACAGAGTTTCTATTGCTAAGCTGTGCTGTGCTGGGATTAGCTGTCCACTTCCCTAGGAAGGAGAATGCGCTTCATCTAGTGGAACTAAGAAAGGATAACTCCACCGGCACTAACCTGTATGGGTTTCTGTCTTTCATTTTTTATCTATCAAGGGATTTTCTAGTCACTTCAGCAAACTGTCAGTATTTTCTGGCTAGCGTTCTTTAATGTATTGATTTCGAATGTAAAAAATGTCACTAGACTCGAAGCTAAGGTCTTTAATTTTAAATGGAGGAATTTTGTCCTCTCTCGGGTCACAATCCCTGACAGGGTGGTCCCACACAGGAACTAGAAAGGGACGCTTTGTCTTTCTGCCCAGGCATCCCTATTGCACCCTGCCAGGATGGGATGGGCTGTAGAACCCCCCTACCTGGCTTCTTAACGGGAAGAAGAAAAGTCCCATTTTGACTACAAACTGGGGGAGGAGCGCCCACAGAGACGTCCCAAAGTCAGATTTCGAGCGACTTCCTGCACTGCTCTTATGGGGAAGAGCTCCCTGCAGCCGCTCAGAATTCTCCTCTTGAGCTCTTTTGTTTCCTCTTCTGTGGGCTACTTAGCTACAAAAGGTAAGAGTAAGAAGCCCGACGGAATCCTGGAAAGTCCTTGGGCCTTCCCCACGTGCGGCAAGAGGAACATCAGGCTTTCTATAGACTTTCAATAGGCCTTCTGCAGAAGGGCCTTCTGTAGCGTTCCTGTGAGTGCAGAGGTCACTCACGGGCGGGGAGCCTAGGGCAAGAGAGGAGGAGTGTGTGAGCGGAACAGGAGCCCTGCTGGGGAAAGGGCCAGAGGTCCATGCTGATGCCTTGGCTTTTGTTTCCTGATGTCCCAGGGCTTGGAAGCCAAGACCACAGAGATTCACAGCTGAGACTTGTCTTAGTGGGTAAGACTGGAGCAGGAAAAAGTGCAACGGGCAACAGCATCCTTGGAGAGAAAGTGTTTCTTTCCAGCCTTGCAGCAAAATCGGTCACCAAGGTCTGTCAGAAAGGGGGCAGCCGGTGGCAAGGGAGAGAACTTGTCGTCGTGGATACGCCTGGCATTTTCGACACCGAGGTACGGGATGCTGACACTGTCAAGGAGATCGCTCACTGCATCCTCCTGACCTCCCCGGGGCCTCATGTTCTGCTCCTGGTGGTCTCACTGGGCCGGTACACGCCGGAAGAGTACAGGGCCACGAAGAAGGTTCTGGAAATGTTTGGAACCCGAGCTAGGAGATACATGATTCTCTTATTCACCCGGAAAGATGAGTTGGAGGGCATGAGTTTCCATAAATTCTTAGAGGACGCTCCAGACGGCATCCGAGAGCTGGTGGATGAGTTTGGGGATCGCTACTGCCTGTTCAACAATCGGGCGACAGGAGCTGAGCAGGAGGCCCAGAGAACGCAGCTGCTGGCCCTGGTCCAGCGCGTCGTGGTGGAGAACAAAGGAAAATGCTTCACCAATAAGATGTACCAAAAGGCCGAAGAGGAGATTCAGAAACAAGTCCAAGTGACACAAGAATTTTACAGAGCAGAGCTAGAGAGACGGATAGCGCAGATCAGAGAGGAGTTCGAAGAGAAAATCAGAAAGCTGGAGGACAAACTGGAGCAGCAGAAACAAAAGGAAGAAATGGAGCGAGAATTAGCAGAGAAGGAGGCTCTCTATGCTCTAAAGCAGCAAAATGCCAGAGATGAAGTTGAGAGTCAAGGTGGGATACTTGACTTAATCATGCACGCATTGCAGATTGCTCAATTTGTTTTCTCGCTTCTGTTTAAGGAAGATTGAACGGAATGCAAAGGTTTATTTCCTGCATGTTTCCTGGTGATCCTACCCCCACACTCACTCACCAAAGTCAGAGTGCTCTCAGCTGCGTCTCCCAGGCTCTCCCAACTAAGCGATGTAATCAAGTTCACTGTTAGCGATTGGCAGAGGTTTGGTTGACTTAACAGGGGAGGGCCAACTTGTCAATTTGTGGAACTCCAAAGCAGAAAGTATGGATGCTCTCTACCTTGTGAATTCCTCAAAGAAGATGACCCCAAACTTTCTCTTTTGCTCCCTAGTAAAAGTTTCTCCTCTAGATTCTTTTTAGATTGCTGGATCATCTGCCTCTGTGACTTCTACTCCCTTATTTTTGCCTTTAGGACACAGTGATCACCTTACCCATATGGTTTATTAGAAAGATTGGTTTTGTGTTGGGTAATCTATAGATGGAGAGGCTTATAGAATTCTTTCCAGATGATTGGAAATTTGTTTAATTGCAGTTTTACAGAAGGACTCAAATTGTCCCTTCTCGTCTGCGCATTGAAGAACAAAGGGTCATCTGGAAAATAGATCCCTCGGAACTCAACTAAGTGAAATGCCAGAAAGAGTGGATGACAGACAGAAATTCAACACATAAGGGAACAATGTTTGCTGTGTTCAGACACATCTACAGCAGCTCTTTGACTAAATTCAATGCAATATATTTGCTGAATTAACCAGTTCTCTCCTTTTCTTGTGACACTAACTGTTGCTACCACACCTTGATTACTTGCTGCTTTTTGAAGGTCATCTGCACACTACCACCCCCCACCCAGCTGAATTGCTTGCTTCTTGTTATGAGAATAAAACTTTTCTGTTCTCTCATACTTGTACAGAATTGGAGTCCACTTTTTCTTGGAAAATACCGCTGCTCCTTCTTCTAAGAACACAGGGCAAGTTTCACTTTTGGGTAAAAGTTCAAGATGATTTGGGAGCTGGTCTTGGTCAACCCTCAAGACATCTC